TTTTTTTTTTGCATTCCAGATTTTATAAATCAAGTATACCTTGATATTAGACCAAATGTTGCGAATTCACTTTTCACTTCATTTTTAAACCAATCATTTTAAAGAGTGCAGTTGTTACATATAACGCTTAATGCACGTGTGAAAGTAAATTAGACAGAGGTTATATTTCGCCTCTCCCCCCCTCCAGCTTCATGTTTATAGCTTTTCCCACTTCATGTTTTTATTTATCCAAGCGGGTTGCCCCCCCCTGTTACTTTTAATTTATTCTACAACATTGAAAATATAACCTTTCACCGTGGCTACTCGCACGGTTACTGCTTATTTTATTATTATTTTTTCTGTTGTTGTTGTTGTTATTGTTGTTCCCCTCGCTCTGCAGTTTTTTCTTTGCCCACCTCCCCCGTAAGTTCCACCTAAATGATCACTTCTCATGTGCAATGTGAATACATGCATGTATGGGGATGTGTACACGCGGATGTATGCTCAACAATGTATGCGCACTTTTGGTGTACTTAGAAGGTTGGAGCAGCTCCGCATCAAGAGTGTGAGCTAAATCCCCATGCAGTTAAGCGCAAACGTGTCCCATTGGACATAGGCGAAGGTACGTCCCATCCCTAATTCATCCTTCCCCACCCAATTGTGCAAAATTTTGTTTTTCTAATTATTTCTTCCCACCCATGATTTCCCCCTGGAGATGGTTCAATTTAGCCTTCAATTTTTTACACCGCGTAAGGGAAAAAGTGAATACTTACCGTTTTATAAGTATCCACTGCTTGCGTCTTATTATATACATTTTGGTTTTACCGTAACTGTAGACACCCCCTTTTTTTTCTCTCTCTCTACACCAGCTCATCATGGTCTGGTAAAATGAATCCCCAGTGCTCTTTTTACCACATCTGATTTGTAAAAAATTTGAATTATTGTGTTCGTTGCCCCTCTTGTTACTTTATGTAACACATTTTATGTACCCCTAACACCTCTTACTATATCTGCATGTCTTATGCTCATTTTTTTTTTGTGATTGAAGACTTCACTTTACTGCAGTGGTGTGTGGACGGATGTCGGTGCGTGCGCTTGTAGGTGTACCCACTTATAGCCCCTTTCGAATGTGACTGCAGGGGTACCTGCCCAGTTCGGCCTAGTCCAAATCAGGTTCACGCTTTTATCTGCCTAGGCTTGCTTAGTCCAAACCAAACTCACGTATGCACCTGAGCACGTCCGAGTATTCCGAACTGCCCCTACCCTACACATGCATTTCTCTACACCCGAATCTGCACGACAACCATGGGGAACTGCATATCGTTCATTAGTTACTCCAGATTTAAATTAAGAAAAAAGAAGTACGATCAGTCCTATGTCAATTCCAACCCCGAGTATGAGCGCGCAGCTGATAGTAATGCCTACGGTAGAAGTGAAAAGATCCGAATAGGGAAGAGCTCTGGGGGACACTCGAATGTGTACAACTCCAGCCGGAGTAGCGGCAGCCTTAATGGGCCCCATAAGAACGGTTCAAAGCATGTTTACTCTAGCAACCCCAGCGACAGTGACCAAAGTGAGGAAAAAATCGACAAACAACGTGGAGCTAATGAGCATATTAGCGACTCCGCCAGTGACCAATACGACGTGCTGATGATAAACGAGAAAAACAAAAACAAAGGGAAAAAAAAAGCCAAACAGAAGTGTAAAAAGGGCAGCAAAGTTGACCCAAAGGAGTTATACACAAATGAAGCAGATAAGGATGAATCCAAATCGAATATGAATGGCAAAGTAGAAGTGGGCACGTCCAAGGGGAAGAATAAGAAAGAGGTTCCCAAAAGTGATTCCCCAAATGAAGATAATGCCGAAGCGACTGGAATGTATAATCACCATGTAGACGCGCCTTCGAAAAAGAGCTCGGAATTTTATAGCAACTCAATTAACACCGACGATCCGTACAAAGAAAACAAAAGAGAAAATTTACTCAACATAAAATACAGCAATATGATTCTAAATGACATAAGAGATGTGGACATCATTGTCGTTTTTCTCTTTAGCCTGTTCCTCTACTTCAATGCTAACAATATAGTGGATATGCTGGACCCAAATAAAAAGGACAGATACTCACTCAAAAATTCATTGAATATAAACCACGATGTTATAAAATTCCCCACATTCCCCAAAGAAATTATAAATAGCTTTTTAAAAAAAGATTTTACCCTGTTAAAGAAGTACATAAAAAATAAATGCAACAAGTTGAAAAAGAAGTATAAGAATACTTATCTGAAGAAGGTCGGGAGGAGTGACCAAGAGGGCGAAGGTGAACAGAATGGACAAGTGGATCAGAAGGATGAAAAATATGAGAAAAAGAAAAACTTTAAATACGAATTGAAGAAGAAAAAGGAAAAATGTTCCTTTTCGAAAATTGTCGAATCGGTTAATAGAAACGAATGGATTCAAAGAGACATCACCGAAATACCATGTGATCAGAATTTGCCTGATCTCAATATAACCTTCATCGTTATGGGGGCCTACTGCTTGTACCAGAAGAACACCAAGCCATTTCAAGATAAAAATACCTTCTTTTATAAATCCCCCTCTTATACATGTGATGCTGAAATATCTGTTGCTTGTAAAAAAGGAAGAAAATTAGATTTCCCCAATCAAGATGATTTCACGATTATTCAAACAAATGAATGGATATTAATTATGGTATTCGATGGACATGGTCCATCAGGACATGACATCAGTAATTTTGCTCATGTCGTCCTTCCCCTTCTCTTCACATATAACATTGAAAGAATATTTGAAAATCCTGTGCACACTATGAAGACACTATTCTATATGATTAACTGCTACTTGGTCAATTATTCCTACTGCATTAACAATAACATAAATCCGATAAACATAAACTTCATCGATTATAATTTAAGTGGAACCACTTGTACCATCATCTTGTACAATTTTGAAACCAAAAAGATTTACTCCGCTCACACAGGGGACAGTAGAGCTGTTATGGGCAAGCAGAATCAGCAGACGAATGCCTTTAGGGCGTATGATATTACTGAGGATCATAAACCATCCTTAAAATTAGAGAAAGATCGAATTATTGCTTTTGGCGGGGAAGTGAAAAAGCTGCAGGGAGATGTCTCCTACCGGGTTTTCGTCAAAAATGAAATGTATCCAGGTTTGGCCATGAGCAGAGCCATCGGTGATATCACATCGTCCTTCATCGGGGTTACTTGTGAGCCCACCATCAACATTTTTGACAAATCGGAGGAGGATAAGTTCATTATCGTCGCCACGGACGGCATCTGGGAGTTCATCAGCAGCGAGGAGTGCGTCCAGATGGTTTCCTGCAAGCGCAAGAAGAAGGTCCACGTTGCCATGGGTGAGTCCAACGAGCGCGAGAGAGCCCTCAAGCGGACGTGTCGATATGGGAGAAGGAAGTGCGTGTCAGCGGAGCATATTACCTTCCTCGTGACCTCTTTGCACCCCCACATTCCACCGCTAACCTATTTACGCCTCTTCTTTTCCCTGCAGAGGAAATCATCAAGGAGTCCTGGAGAAGGTGGGAGAGGATCGACACCGTCGATGATGTAAGCGAGAAGTGCCCCTAAATGTTTTTCTTTTTTTTTTTTATCCATATTAATATATTATAGACTTTCTTTTCCGTGGCTGCGTTTCACCATACACGCTCTTGCGAATCGTCATTCTTCTAAACAAACCTTGAAGCTTCTCGCGTTCAGTTATTCCCTTCATACTGTTCCTATTTTTTCTCTTCTCCCCCCATCATTTTGCAGATGACGTTGGTAATTTTATACTTTTGATTTGCCGCCTCCCGTTAAAGATCGTGCCAGGAAGTCATTTAACCCCCCTTATGTGTGATCCCCCACTGGGGCAATTTTTTCTTTTTAATGAATATTTTGAAGTTTCCTTTGTTTCCACCACTTTGTGTTAACTCATTTGCTGTTTAACAAGCTGAGGTAACTCCGCATGGTTATAAATTATGAAGTCACTAATTCGAACTGCTAAGGGGTGGAAGTGAGTTGGGACTCCACAGGGATGAAAAGAACGTGCCGGTGTGAACAGCCAAATGGGTGAAAACAGCCAAATGGGTTAAAACAACCAAGTGGGTCAAAACAATCAACTGGGTTAACACTCCCCAATGGCGTAACACGGGAAACAGGGCCAAATTCGTCAAAGGGGTCAAACGAACGCACAATAAACAGTGCACCTTGTACAATAAAAAATTAGAGGCCGGGAAAAGGCACATGTGCAAGAAGCGCAACTCAAAGGAGGAGTCTCGCCCTGTACCCTCCCCCAAGTGACCACTTCAAGAGTGCCATAAAAAGGTAAACCTATTTTATTAGCTTAAAAGGAGGAAATACAGAAAGGTGTGAATTTTTGCCTCTGTGGAGGAAAATTTCCTTCCTTTTGCGTCACTGTTACGCCCCGCACCCCCGTTTCACACATCATCGGACACGTCCTTGTGCTTCCTGACTATGTGGTAATAGTGCAAAGCGTCATGCTTCTGCAGATAATCCGTCACCTCCACTTCCGTCTTGGCAATTATCATCTTCCAATTGAGGAAATTCTTCTTCTTCACAGTGCCGCTCCAAATCAGGCTGCAAGTACTGCCCCGGTTTAGGTGACTATTTGCACCATCATTAGGATATTCTGCCTGTGTATCAAAATTGGATTTCATTTTACTTTGTTCTGCTTTTTCTTTAACGTTCCTACTGTTATGATCGTGATCTAGGCCTCTTGCTCCACCTTCTTTATCTTCTTCTTCTTCCTCCTCATCATCCTCATCGTCCCCTTCTTCATCCTCGTTGTATTCATCTTCATTCCATTTGATTCGCCTAAAAATTAACCTCTTGTACCGCTCAATGGCAATGTGCTTCCCCTCGACAATAATGAAGTTATAAAGAACAGTCATAACACACACACCCGTCAAATGTAGCTGCTGCGCATTTATGTCAATTTTAAATATGTGTTTTTTATTGGACAAGTTTGATATATAAATAACGAGGACTTCATTTTCTTGATTGGGATCACACTTCCATTTCTTCATTTTCTTTTTTCTTTTTTCTTCCGGATTTAATTTTCTCTCCTGATTTTGTTTAAAATGTCGTAATTCTCTTTCTTTCATTTGTTGCCTCACTTCGAGTTCTATTCTTGAGGGCTGCGAAACTGCACTGTCTCCAAGGACCCTCATCAGATTTGATAGTTTCATCTTAGGTGGTGGTGGGGGCATCAGTCCTATTCGAATTTTGTCTTGTTTCTCTCTTTCCTTTTCTTGTCTTTTTCTCTTCCTTAGCTTTTTCCTTTCTAACGGGGTTAAAAACATATGTGGAGTGATCTTCTCTTCTTTCTTATCTTCATTTAGCGAAATTGGATGTTCCACATAATTTGTGATTTTCTTCAGGTTCACTCTATACAGCTCGTTATTAATTATGATTTCGTTACTTTGTAGCAGAAGGATATTAGCGCTGCGCTTCTGTATCAGTTTGTTCACTTCGAGGTAGATGGTGCTGGTGCATTCATTTGGGTCATTGTTATCATTTTTGTTTGTCTCCCCTGCGGCACCTTCCTGTCCATCTTCATGGGGATTTCCATTAGGTTCCTCCCCTCCATTAGGTTTCTCCCCCCCATGATGTGTAGCTCCCTTCAGCTGGAGCTTCCCCTTACAGCTAGCCATTTGCTCCGAAATGTACTCCATCAAGTTTTCTTTATTTTCAACCTTTTTGAATAGAACCAAATCCCATTTTTCCATCACGTCATACTTTTCATCCTCCTTCCACTCCTTCCTTCTCCTAACATCTTTGTTATTAATGTCTATTAAGTTTGGATTGATGTTATCATTTAGATCACTGTTTAAGAAGTTTAAAGACATTTCTTGCAAAGACTGCACATTCTTTTTATCCTGCATAAATTTTTTCAGATCAGAATTCATCTGCGATTTTGTATTGTAGTTCCTCGAATTGGCTAGCTTCACCAAAGAACCTGGTGTAATAAAATTAAAGGCCTTTTTTTTCTTCTTCTTCTGGACATTTTTTATTCTAGAATCAAACCATTTGGTATCTTCATTTAGAAACTCTTCACTATTTTTATTTCCTAATTCGTTTTTTTTTTTTAAAAGATTATTTTCTTCCAACTTGTTAATATTCACTTTGAGTGTAGAAAACGTAATCGGTTTTATGTTGATCACATTTCCTTCTTCATCTATTTCTCTGCCTTGTTCATCAAATTTTAAAGGCTTCGGTACGAAGTCTACTTTCTTTATGTTCTGTTTCATGTCCTCCTTAAACCTGCTAGCTCTTTTTGCCCTTTCTATTGCTAATTTGGCTGCCTCTGTTGCTTTTAATATGTTTAAATGCATGGCGGAAGATAGCGCGGGGAAGCTTGGCGCTGTGAGTGGGAACTGAGTCGGTAGACTCGTGGCGGCGGTAGTCAACCCTATGGGGGGGTTCATTAGTCCAGAGGTAGGGGGTTTCATTAGTCCAGCGGTGAGAGGGTTCATTAGTCCAGGGGCGGTGGTGGCCAATCCGGATGCTTTACTCATACTGAAGTCTCCTAAAATGTTACTCGCTCCGTTTAACAGCGCATTCACCTCATTCATCCTAATCGGTTCAGCTGACTTATTCACTTCGACCGTTTTACCCGTCTCGTTAATACTATCTGCTTTGTTTTCTAAGTCCCCCCACCTGGATTTTCTTTTCTTCTGGAGTTCTTCCATTTTGTTGTACAGCTTAAATTGTAAAAAGAAAAAGAAAGGAGCAGAAAAAAAAAAGAAAGAAAAGACCAATTTTTTAACCAGATTCACAAAAGGCACATCATCTTCAGTGTCATTTTGTGCCGTGCACGTCTGTTACGATACCTTATATATCACGGAGAAAAGCGATCGAATGAATATAGGGTTGCTCTCTTTAGTCCGAAATTTTTATTTTTAATCCATTTAATTTAACTGTGACTGCTTTTTTTTTGCTTTGTTACTCCTATATTGTGTTTGTTAATTTTTACATTCTGCGGTGAAGCGCAAAAAAATTGCAGTCCACTTTTTTTAACTCATTTTTATGCATTTCTCAAACGTGCGTGTGTTTTTCTGTATGTCGAAATGTTTTTTATGCGTACACTATTTTTATCCGTGCGAAATTTTTATTCGGTAGCGCGGACAAGTTAGATATAATGAGAAAAAAATAAAACGAACATTTTTGCATACACGAGGGGGGCAACATGTCAAAAGATCGATGATGCACTGAAAGGGTTGTATTTTTATCACCTCAGTTTACCACAGCTGTGGTGAAAGAATACTTGGAAGTGTTCTTTTTTTTTTTTTTTCTTTTCTTCGTGCCTTCAAAAAAAAAGTCAATGTAATAAATCCGGTACACTATTATATATGTACGTGCTGCTACTAAAATTTATCACCTGACTGTATATGTAGAAATTTTTCCCTTTTTGCCTTTTTTTTTTCTTTTTTTCTCTCTTTTTTACGAAAAACTGCCAAATTTAGTTTTGTTCATTTTCTCTATATGCTGATTATTTGTTAGAATTGCAAAAGATCCATGTCCATATGGACTCCTCCCTTTCGGGGGATGCAAAAAAAATTACGTGTTTAAATTGTCCTTAAGTAAGAAGAAGTACTTAATTGCAAAATTGAGAAAAAGGGTGCCTGAAAATGAGGAAGTGCCAAAATAGGGAGTCAACAAAATGGGAAAGCGCCAAATAGGAAAACGTCCAAAAGAAAAAAGGCAAAATACCGAAGCAGAGAAATTCGAAATTTTTGCACAATTTCATTGCCGCGTACCCTATTGTTATGCGCCTTTGGAGCCGTACGAAAATTAAAAACACTTGGCCCTACTGGGCATTTGTATGAAAAAGCAATTATCAGACGTCCAAGTGGATTCTTTTGAAAAACATGTTACGGTGATTTTTCCTTTTTCGCGCTCTCTGCGCCTTTTGCCTTTTTACCCTTCTTGCGTTTACCTTTTTCTCGCTGTGTTTGTACATTTTCCGCCTTTTAGACGTTTTGCCATTTCGCTGGGCATTTCTTTTGATTCACTTCATTCATTTGACACAGTTTCGTTTCGCATTGTTGTTATTATGCTGATCCTAGTGCCCTACCCAGCGATACGCTACTGATGATTCGCGCCCATTTTGTTGCTTACATTTCGATGATGCTGCTTTATCGGGATTTTTTGACACTTTTTTGACGCTTATTTCATGCGCCTTCGACTCCTTTTTGGTCATTTCTTTGCCATCTGTTTGTCACGTTTTGGTCACTTTTTTTTGTCACTTCTTTTGGCTTCCTTTTGGAACGTTTATGATGTACATATAGATAAATATATATATGTATAAATGTATATGTTTTTGCTTTTTTTGCATTTATTCCCTTATTAGTTCACCTTTTTTTTATGCATGTTCAATTTTTTTTTAAATATGATCGAAGTTGGTCAGATTTGTCCTTCTAGGCTTCCCAATTTCAATGACTCAAAATTATGTTTTTGCATTTTACGCATACTGTCTAAAAGGTTAGTAATTTTGTGAAGTCGCCTAACTGCTAACCGTTTTGTCAAATTGCCCAACCGATGACATTTTTGCAAAAGTACTTTAATTGATCACCCCCGCTCGAAAGCACATTAGCGTATTACACCTTTGCGAAATCGTTTTTGATACACACGACCTTTTCTTGGTCGCACACTCTTATGCTAACCCCTTTTTTTGTGCTTCCTCTCTTTCCATTCCCGTGTTATATTTCACCTAATTATATGTGCACAGATACAAATGCGTAAATAACGAATGCGTAAGTAGTGAATAGCCAAATGCCTGCTTGTGTACTCACCATTCCAATTTCTTTTTTAACTTTTAAACCTATACATATGCACATAAACGTGTACACGTAACATTAGTACATATAACGCGTAAACATTAGAG